TGGTAGGGTATTAATTGCTGCCTCAATTTCAGACCTTGTTATTGGTCTATTCAGGGATTTGACTTCTTCCTGGTTTAGTCTTGGGAGGGTGTAAGTGTCTAGGAATTTATCCATTTCTTCTAGATTTTCTGGTTTATTTGCATAGATGTTTTTATAGTATTCTCTGATGGTAGTTTGTATTTCTGTGGGATCAGTGATGATACCCCCTTTATCATTTTTTATTGCATCTATTTGATTCTTCTCTCTTCCTTATTAGTCTGGCTAGCAGTCCATCTACTTTATTGATCTTTTCAAAAAACCAGCTCCTGGATTCATTGACATTTTGAAGGGTTTTTAATGTCTCTATCTCCTTCACTTCTGCTCTGTTCTTAGTTATTTCTTGTCATCTGCTAGCTTTTGAATTTGCTTGATCTTGTTCCTCCAGTTCTTTTAATCGTGACATTAGGTTATCAATTTTAGATCTTTGTTTTTCTTGTGGGCATTTAGTGCCATAAATTTCCCTCTAGACACTGCTTTAAACATGTCTCAGAGATCCTGGTACATTGTATTTTAATTCTCATTGGTTTGAAAGCACTTATTTATTTCTGCCTTCATTTTATTATTTATCCAGTAGTCATTCAGGAGCAGGTTATTCAGTTTCCATGTAGTTGGGTGGTTTTCAGTGAGTTTCTTAATCCTGAAATCTAATTTGATTGCACTGTGGTCTGGGAGACTGTTGGTCATGATTTCTGTTCTTTTGCACTTGCTGAGGAGTGTTTTACTTGAAATTATGTGGTCAATTTTAGAATAAATATGGAATGGTCTTGAGAAGAATGTATATTCTGTGTATTAGGGGTGGAGAGTTCTGTAGATATCTATTAGGTCCACTTGGTCCAGATCTAAGTTCAAGTCTTGGATATCCTTGTTAATTTTCTGTCTCGTTGATCTGTCTAATATTGACAGTGGGGTATTAAAGTTTCCCACTATTATTGTGTGGGAGCCTAAGTCTCTTTGTAGGTCCCTAAGAACTTGATTTATGAATCTGAGTGCTCCTGTATTAGGTGCATATATATTTAGGATAGTTAGCTCTTCTTGTTGCATTTATCCCTTTATCGTTATGAAATGCCCTTCTTCATCTCTTTTCATCTTTCTTGGTTTAAAGTTTATTTTATCAGAGACTAGGATTGCAACCCCTGCTTTATTTTTTTTTATTTTTTTATTTTTTGACTTTCCATTTGCTTGGTAAATCTTCCTCCATCCCTCTATTTTGAGCCTATATGTGTTTTTGCACATGAGATGGGTCTCCTGAATACAGCACACCAACAGGTCTTGACTCTTTATCCAATTTGCCATCTGTGTCTTTTAATTGGGCCAGTTAGCCCATTTACTTTAAGGTTAATATTGTTATGTGCGAATTTTATCCTGCCATTATAATGCTAGCTGGTTGTCTTGCCCATTAGTTGATGCAGTTTTTTCATAGAATTGATGGTCTTTACTATTTGGTATGTTTTTGCAATGGCTGGTACCGACTGTTCCTTTCCTTGTTTAGTGCTTGTTCAGGAGCTCTTGTAAGGCAGTCCTGGTAGTGACAAAATATCTAAGTAGTTGCTTGTCCATAAAACATTTTATTTCTCCTTTGCTTATTAAGCTTAATTTGGCTGGATATGAAATTCTGAGTTGAATATTTATTTCTTTAAGAATGTTGAATATTGGCCCTACTGTCTTCTGGCTTGTAGGTTTTCTGCCAAGAGATTCACTGTGAGTCTGATGGGCTTCCCTTTGTGGGTAACCTGGCCTTTCTCTCTGGCCACCCTTTGCACTTTTTCCTTCATTTCAACCCTGGTGAATCTGATGATAATGTGTCTTGGGATTGCTCTTCTTGAGGAGTATCTTGGTGTTCTCTGTATTTCCTGAATTTGAATGTTTGCCTGCCTTGCTAGGTTGAGGAAGTTCTCCTGGATAATATCCTGAAGAGTGTTTTCCAACTTAGTTTTATTCTCCTCTTTGCTTTCAGGTACACCACTCAAATGTAGATTTGGTCTTTTCTTGTAACTCCATATTTCTTGAAGTCTTTATTTCTTTTAACTCTTTTTTTCTCTAATTTTGTCTTCCTGCTTTACTTCATTGAGTTTATCTTAAAACTCTGATATCCTTTCTTCTGCTTGATCAATTTAGCTATTGAAACTTGTGTGTGCTTCGCAAAGTTCTTGAGCTGTGTTTTTCAGCTCCATCAGATCTTTTATGTTCTTCTCTAAGTTAGCATTTCATCTAACCTTTTTTCAAGGTTCTTAGCTTCCTTGCATTGGGTTAGAATATGCTCCTTTAGCTTGGAGAAGTTTGTTATTACCCACCTTCTGAAGCCTACTTCAGTTAATTCTTCAAACTCATTCTCCATCCAGTTTTGTTCCCTTGCTGATGGGGAGTTGTGATCTCTTGGAGGAGGTGTTTCAGGCTTTTTGCGCTGGTTTCTTCCCATCTTTGTGGATTTATCTACCTTTGGTCTTTGAAGCTGGTAACCTTTGGAATGGGTCTCTGAGTGGATGTCCTTTCTTTTGATGTTGAGATTATTTCTTTCTGTTTGTTAGTTTTCCTTCTAACAGTCAGGCCCATCTGCTGCAGTTCTGCTGGAGTTAGCTGGAGGTCCACTCCAGACACTGCTTGCCTGGAAATCACCAGGGCGGGCTGCAGAACAGCAAAGATTGCTGCCTGTTCCTTCCTCTGGTAGCTTCACCCCAGAAGGGTACCCACAAGATGCCAGCCAGGGCTCTCCTGTATGAGGTGTCTGTCAGCCCCCTACTGGGAGGTGTCTCCCAGTAAGGATACAGGGGAGTCAGGGAGCCACTTGAGGATGCAGTCTGTCCCTTATCAGAGCTGGAACATAGTGCTGGGAGACCCACTGCTGTTTTCAGAGCTGCCAGGCAGGGATGTTTAAATCTGTTGATGCTGTACTCATAATGGCCCCTTTTTCCAGGTGCTCTGTCCCAGGAAGGTGGAGGCTTTATTCAGGTCTCTGTCAGGTGGCCACCTTTTTTCAGAGATTCCCTGCCCAGCAAGGAGGGAGTCTAGTAACATAGTCTGCCTGCAGAGGCCTTGCTGAGCTGCTGTGGGCTCCACCCATTTTGAACTTCCCAGCAATTTTGTTTACTTACTGGAGCCTCGGCAATGGCAGGTGCCCCTTCCCACACCGAGCTCAAACCTCCCAGGTTGAGCTCAGACTGCTGTGCTGGCTGTGAGAATTTCAAGCCTGTGGATCTTAGCTTGCTGGTCTTCATTAGGGTGGGACCCACAAAGCCAGATCACTTGGCTCCCTGGCTTCAGCCCCCTTTCCAGGGGAGTGAAGGGTCCAATCTCGCTGGTGTTCCAGGCACCACTGGGGTATAAGAAAAAAAAAACTGCTGCATCTAGTTCAGTTTCTTCCCAAATGGCCATCCAGTTTTGTGCTGGAAACCTGGGGCCCTGGTGTTGTAGGTACCAGAGGGAATCTCCTGGTCTGCAGGTTGTGAAGACCATGAGAAAAGCACAGTATCTGGGCCAGAGTGCAGGGGACAGTCCTTAACGGCTTCCCTTAGCTAGGAGTGGGAGTTCCAGGCCCCTTGCACTTCCTGGGTGAGGCAACACCCCACCCTGCTTCAGCTTGCCCTCCTTGGGCTGCACCCACTGTCCAACCAGTCCCAATGATATGAGGCAGGTATCTCAGTTGGAAACGCGGAGATCACCTGCCTTCTGCATCGCTCTTGCTGGAAGCTCCACACTGGAGCTGTTCCTATTTGGCCATCTTGCCAGCAACCTTTTTTTTTTTTTTTTTTTTTAAAGATGAAGTTTCACACTGTTACCCAGGCTGGAATGCAGTGGCCTTATCTTCGCTCATTGCAGCCTCTGTCTGCAAAAGATTCTTTAGCTGGGATTATAGGAGAGCACCACCATATCTGGCTAATGTTTGTATTTTTAGTAGAGATGTAGAGACAGGGATTTTACCGTGTTGCCCAGGCTGGTTGTGAATTCCTAAACTTAACGCAATCTGCCCACCTCCGCCTCCCAAAGTGCTAGGATTACATTTTCTAAAAAGATTTATTGGCTGCAATGTGGTAGTTCAACACTTTGGGAGGTGGAGGTGGCTGCATCACCTGAGGTCAGGAGTTTAAGACAAGCCTGGCCAACATGGCAAAACCCCATCTCTACTAAAACTACAAAAATTATCCAGGCATCATGGTGGGAGCCTGTAATGTCAGCTACTCAGGGGACTGAGGCAAGAGAATTGCTTGAACCTGGGAGGCAGAGGTTGCAGTGAGCCAAGACGGCACCACTGCACTCCAGCCTGGGCAACAGAGTGAGACTCCACCTCATTTAAAAAAAAAAAAAAAAAAAAAAAGGCTTAACTGATGAGTGCAAACTCCAAAATCCAAAATGGAAAAGTAGCATACCTAGCATGTTTGAAAACCACAGCAAATCATTTTTAAACAAGCACTGATCTATATGGCAAAATGATTTCAGTAAGTATTATGAAATAAAACAAATATTAACAATAACGGCCAGAAAATATTTATCTACAACAGCAAAAAATCATAATTAAATATTAAGTCCTAAAAAAGTAAGTGATGGATTAATATTACTTAATTATGTTAATGTCTTTTTTGAAAGAAAAGAGGGAGTGACAAGAAAAATACTTCCAAAAGAGTGAAGTCCGCAAGGATCCGAGAAGAATTTGCGTGCAAAATGACAGAACTGAAGAAAGGCATGTTCTATTTTTTTCAGCTTTATAATCCCTGTGATATCATTGATGATTTCCAATCTACTGTTTAAATGCAGAAATAAGTAAAGGCACAGGGGTTGAAGACATAAACTAAGTCTGAAGCAAATTTGAGTAATTAGAGCCCTGACGAACTTATCTTGAATTAGAAGTGTAGCTGAGTCTTGGAGGAACAGTGTATTAATTAGGAGTCCTCTGAATTAACTGCCATGTAGAATACAGTTTTTATTAAATTATAAATAATAAGGTGTGCTCATTTGAACTTTGCAGATATATTAGTATACTCAATTGTAACTATAATAATTGTCTGAACATAAACCAAAACACTTTTTTTCACTGCAGTTATTTCATCACTGACAATGCTTAGCATTGATATGCCTGGTGATCATTAAAAAACAGACCCACTTTTAGTTGGCTCTATTATTGTTTTAAAATTCAGTAATTAGTGTCTATACCCAGTATGCACCACTGCCTGACCTTGGTATGCCATTGGAGTAGGATGAATAAATCACTTTTAGTTCTTCAAAATAAAAGATTTTTTCCTCCCTAAAAAAAGAATATACGATCCGTTCTGTTACCAGACCACCTTTTTGCTGTCCAGGATGCTAGCTTTAGGATGACTTTTCCAAAAGCAATATCTATGAAAAGCATTTTACCTGTTTCCAATGACTATATGGTGAACAACCTCTAAGATGTTAAAGTGGCTGATTTTTGTAGCAAACAATAAATTCCTTCTGCTTGGGAAGGTATCAGATGGAAGTCAAACTATGCCAATCACTATCCCTGTAGTTTCTCTAAGTCACAACGTCTCTAGCAGTAGAAAGAAAATTATGCTTTTTGTCATTACCTTTTGGGAGTAAAGTTAAAGTAAAAAATGCATCCAGTCCTGAACACTCTCTTCTGTTCCACTGAGTTGGCTCAATGCAGAAGATTAGGTGAGAAGATGAGGGAGGGGGAACAGTCCAGGCACTAGAATTTAAAGGCAGCAGAGAACAGCTTCTTTAATGGAAACTGTACAATCTGACATTAGTTATGTTTTCATTAAGTTTGTGTTAAGTAATTTAGTATTGCTCCAGCATTTAAGTCAAAATATATTACCATGATTTGTGCTAAGATAGTTTTGCCTCTGCCCACACCAATCTCTCCTGCAAAACCAGAATTTCTACCAGTGCATTAGACATTGGAACACAGCTCTTACTCTGATACTTTGAAAAAAAAAAAGACCTTTTCGAGCTTTTCTTTGAAGTAGGTTAATAACTGAATAATTTGTATGTTTGAAAAGTCTGCAGTTTTCAGCTAATTGCTTATTGTTGTAATGGTCACCTAGCAAAAACATACCTTAAAATATTTGGGGCCGTACGCGGTGGCTCACGCCTGTAATCCCAGTACTTTGGGAGGCCGAGGCGGGTGGATCACGAGGTCAAGAGATCGAGACCATCCTGGTCAACATGGTGAAACCCCGTCTCTACTAAAAATACAAAAAATCAGCTGGGCATGGTGGCTCATGCCTGTAATCCCAGCTACTCAGGAGGCTGAGGCAGGAGAATTGCCTGAACCCAGGACGCGGAGGTTGCGGTGAGCCGAGATTGCGCCATTGCACTCCAGCCTGGGTAAAAAGAGTGAAACTCCGTCTCAAAAAAAAAAAAAAAAAAAAAAAAATTTGGAATGTTTTAATAGTTTCAATTAATTAGACTCTTCAAGAGGCAAGCAATGCAAACAATTGACTTGTGTGAATTTAAAACATAGAATGCCCGAGGCTTTCTTTGTGTGAGGAATTTTACTGTAAGATGGTCTATTTTGTCTGCAGAAAATATGAAGAAAGTTTTCCAAGAGCAAAGAGTTTAGGGACTATAAAGTTTTTTAAGGCTAGCAGATTTTTTCCCTATCTAGTGCTACTCAAAGCCTTCAATATGCTAATTCAGATTCAATATGCTAATCTCAACCGTGAAGTGGATATGTGATGATGACATGTTTACAAATTTGCCACCTAATTCTTTTTTTTTTTTTTTTTTTTTTTTTTTTTTGAGACGGAGTTTCGCTCTTGTTACCCAGGCTGGAGTGCAATGGCGCGATCTCGGCTCACCGCAACCTCCACCTCCTGGGTTCGGGCAATTCTCCTGTCTCAACCTGAGTAGCTGGGATTACAGGCACGCGCCACCATGCCCAGCTAATGTTTTGTATTTTTAGTAGAGACGGGGTTTCACCATGTTGACCAGGATGGTCTCGATCTCTTGACCTCGTGATCCACCCGCCTCGGCCTCCCAAAGTGCTGAGATTACAGGCTTGAGCCACCGCGCCCGGCCTTAATTCTTTTTTTCATGGAGTATCTTCTGGAACTTAGCATTCCATAGAACCTACTTAAGAAACTTTTCTATATCTTTACTATGTCTCAGATGGAACCCATGGGAAAATTGCATGTTTCTGTCCTTAAGATCTCTTTGATTCCTTTCATTGAATTCCACATCTTATGCTTAGAAATTTGTGTCCCACATTTTCCTGCTACCAGAAAAGGAAATAATCATAATCTTCCCAGTTGAATTGGAGAGACTCTAAAGTGTTCCCTAAGGAAATTTGATGCTATGGGAAATACATGAACTTGAAATAACATTTGAATGCCTTAAATGGTGCTTGCCACATTGTAGATACAGGTGAATGTCCATTTGACCCCTTCTCCAATTATCTTTGAAAAATGAAGATTTCTTTGTTAAATTTGCTTCAGAATACATATTGAGTACGGGCCTACAACCTCTCTAAATGCTACTTGTTATTTAGTGACTGTGATACAGTGAGCATGTGACACGAGTCCACCTTAGATGAAAAAATGTTAAAATAACTTAGTAATAAGACAGTCTTATCTACCAGACAAAAACAATCAGTGGACATATGTTAGCCATTAAGACCCATGGGATCTATCAGCACTAGCTGAAGAAAGTGACTTGCAAGGAAGACTTTGAAATAACAATATTTGATTTAGCCATCATTCTCTTACATTATACAATTATACAAAGTCAATTTGAAGCTAAGACATTTATGAGAAAATCATGTTATTTAAAAATTATGAGTGATTTACTTGATTTGGTGCAAGAGCTTTATGTCTCTAGCTTCTACTCACAATCTAAGCTAAGTAGGTTAGAGGGAAGGAAGTTACATTCATTTCCTATATACGTTGAGTAGATGTGCTCTCTTGTTTAATTCTAACATCAATGCAATGGAGGGCTTATTAATATCCCACTTTTACAAATAAATTTGTGGCATATAAATCAGAAGTAAAATGCTCAAGATTACAAGCTATTATGTCTGGACAGAGTCAGGATTGTGAAACCAGATTTACTGAGTTTCAAAACACTAGTGGTATTGCACCAACCTTAGGATTTTGCTTAACAGGATATTTTTCATAATATTTAAAAAATATAGTAAGTTTTCAAGTGAATTAAAAAATTAGTTAGCAAAAATGTAATTTTCCATGTGATCCTCAAGTAACACTATTGATATTAAACTAGGGACTCCTGCGTCTTTATTTGTGATGGTTGTTTTATGTTTACATATTTTATATGTCAACTTGACTGGGCCATTGTGTGCCCAGACATTTGATCAAACATTATCCTGGGTGTGTCTGAGAGCACATTTCTGGATATGAATCAATAGATTGAGTAAAGTAAATCATCCTTCCTAATGTGGGTGGCTCTCACCCAATTAACCAAAGACCTGACAGAACAAAAGCCTTAAGGAACAAAGAATTCCTCCTGCCTCTGACCACTTTGAGCTGAGACATCAGTCTTTTGCTGTCTTTGAACTCAAGTGAAAATACTGGCTCTTTTGAGTCTTGAGACTGCCTGCTCAAGACTGAACATGTACCATGGTCTCTTCTGGTTCTCAGGTCTTTGAACTTAGACAAGAACTACAATATTAGCTTTCCTGGTCTCCAGCTTGCCAGCTGCAGATCTTGGAACTCCTCCCCCCTCCATAACCACATGAGCCAACTCCTTTTTATATGTCACTTCATATATATATGAAGTCAATTTGAAGCTAAGATATAATATATGTATATATATGCACATACACACACATATATAATATATACACACACATAAAGTATGTATACATACATCTGATTATATATATACATATAGAGAGAGAGACATATATATGTATATATCCTACTGGATCTTTTTCTTTGGAGAACTCTGGATAATCTGGAGAATACATTAAGATAATTTCAGTGGGAAAGTAAAAGTATTATTTATTGTTAGCAGATTAGTATTATCAGTATTCAAGTTATTTCCATTATAATATGTCTTACAGAGAAGTTTCATATTTTGTGATTTTTATATTTGCTTTCCTGTCAGGGAAAATGCTTATTTCTGGGGTGCATCCAAGTCCTGTCACTTTTTCAGCTATTTGGGGGCACAGAATTCACTAGAATTTGCTTTCCCTGAAAAGGCACATTTGTCCTGCACTGGGAACTTGAAGTATCGTTAGAGTAGTGGCTCTAAACTTGGGAAATCTTAGTCCTTGTTGACAGCGCTGGAACCTCTTATCATGAACACACACACACATACCACACATACATGTACATGTGCACACTCACATAAGTTTGTATCAATTTTAGTTTTGAAACCCTTTTTCTGACGTGTTTATCAAAGTCTCTAATGTTTTCTCCAGGAAACAACTGAAAAGGGTTTCAGGAGTCAGAGAAAAGCAGACCCAGAAATGAATGCTTACGAATGACAAACTAGAAAACAAAAGAGAAAAGAATGAAGACCAAGGGCAGACCTGAGATCTGCTGGGTATGAACATTTTCTATTAGTCACTTATTTCATTCAACAAACTTACAAAACACTTAATATGTGTAAGACACTTTGGAATGCATGGAGATAAATCAAACCCAAATTTTACCCTCATGATTTTACAATCAGCAAGGGAAAGGTTATTTGTTCATATGAATCTAAAAACTGGTAGGTGCTATAATGGAGGTTTGAGTAAAACGATACAGGTCTGAGAGAGGCTGTTGTCATCTGGGGTGACCCAGAAAAGCTTCCTGGAAGTGGTAGCACTGGAAGATGACATTGAAGGATGAGTATACCTTGGCACTTGGAGATGTGCATTATGCTCCAGGCAGAAAGAATAGGATAAACAAAGTCATGGAGGAGAGACGTGGCAATACGTGTGGCTGCATGGCCGGACTAGAGATCAGGCATGGGGCCATTGTAGGTATTGTGGGAAGCTTGGTTAAAAATAAGAAGGATTTTTCCCCTCATTAGTCATCTTGAGCCTTAGAAAAATTTAGAGCCAAGGACATATCTGAAGAAACATGTCCTTTTGAAAGACTGATATGGCAGTGGTGTAGTCTGGATTGAAGCAACGACAGACTAGATTGTGAAAAACCTGCAGGGAATTTAACTTAACTAAAATGGAATGAAAGAGAAACAAAAGGAACACGTTGCAGAGGTTTGTTGTTCCCATAACACACTTCTAAGGCTGCTTTGAAATAAACTTGGGCTAACATTTTGAATGCAAAACCACCACTGAGGCATATCTGCAACAGCTTTGCCAGTTCCTGGGGTAGACAGGGATTACTGGGACTTCTCAGTCACTAACACCTGAAGGTATGAAACAGCCAAGATGTCCAAGTAGAAAGAATGAAGTTTAGAGACATAAAACAATGAGAGACATAAGTTCTGTGTCGAAACAAATTTGGACACAGAAACCCTGTCAATAGTCTTTAATCAGAAGTGCTCTGGATCAGAGACTTGTAGTCTTGGGTTAAAGGAAATAAGTATCAACTATCAGAGATGAGATACACATGCTATATATCTCATTTATAGATACACAGGCACACAGTGTGTGGCAGAATTGGGCTTCCTATGTTCTTGTTGATTCTCTCGCCTTTTGAGAATGAACACACATTAAAAAAAAAAAATCCACAAACACTGCCCACAGTGACTTCGTTTAAATATCCTTCCCTCAGGGTGATATGTGATTTCATTATCTCACATATTTCATGTTTTTTGATTGAAGGTGAGCAAAGGGTCAGCTATTTGTAGCCTGTTATAGAAAATGCTTCTTAATGAAAAGGCAACACAGATTTAAATTTACTTAATGTTCATTCTCACTTTTTTTCCCTTCACATAGCATTTCCCTTTCTTTTACCATATTTTTGAATCTCAGAAAAATATTTTTCTCTGAATTTAAGAATCCATTTTAAGTGATTTGGAAGTTTTATTATATGAAATAAAAATGAAAGACAAAAATTATGTACAAGAACGAAAAGGAATGTTTGTTTAGTGAATCAGAAACTAATGGAAGTAAACAGAAAGCACGTAAAATAAAAGCATTTTTATAGCATGTACAATGCTGTACATATTTCTGTCACTTTGAAAAATGGCTTTTAAAATTTACTAATAGCGTTTCCAAATTGCTAAATTGATTGTAATTTAATAGGAAAATAAAAAGCTTTTTTTTTTTTTGCTCATTTTGCAATGCTTACTTGAAAAAGAAATGAAAAGTTATGCAGATTAAAGCCTTTCCAGAATAAGGGGAATGGCCAAGAAAAGAACATATCATGTCTGCTCTACCAGCCTGAATTGCAAGAAATTGGTTTATAATTTCTTTGAGTAAAATCTAAAGCATGTACTCTCTTATTCATACACAAATGCTAAGTTAAACATTTATATGTGAAGCTAGGAAATGCATATAATTTTAGAGTAGAAAATATACTGAGATTAAATTAAAATGGGAATGCAATTCTGTATTTCCTTTATTTTAGCTTATAAGTTTTCTACATTTAAGTATGTCTTCAGTCAAGGTTAAATATCAAAAACTGTCTGAAAAGGTCAGATATTGAGTTAATTTTTTACTTATCTACGGTACTAAGTGACTAAAATTAGACAAGTAAAAAAATCGGCAAATAATGAAGATGATTGCTCATTTCAGTCAAGATTTTCAGCTCTCTCCTGCAAGATATTTCACCATCAGTTGAAATATTTCAACTAGTCAGTGGTAGCAAATGTAAGAGATGTCAGTTCTATTCTCTGCATATGTGCTTCTTCTCTGGTAAAGGTACCATTGTTTTTGAAGCTTTCCATTCCTCAAATTGTCTTCACTCTCTTGATCCACCCAAGGATCAGCTTAGATAGGACTTCATCTTCAAGATCCAATTCAATGGCTTATATAACTACTCATCTCTGATCATTAAGACTTGGGCACTTGGCCAAGTCTTCCTCTTTGCCCCATTCACCTACACTTTTAGTGACCACGTGGATACATTCTTCTCTCAATCAGTATCCTTGAACGCTTCCATTTCTTTCATGTTCTTACTCTCACTGAACCTATCTTTTTACTTCATTGACACTTCGTGCCTTTTCACTCCTTCTTTTTCTCCCCTACTTGCTTCACTTATTGATATGAAATAAAGTCAAGACTTCATCATCCGTAAACTTAGTATTTTATTTACTGCACTCTCAAATACCTTATTCCTTGTTCTTTCATTTGGTCATACTATAACCCTGGTTCAACTTACCATTATACTTTTTCTACTTTTACACCTAGATGACTCCTAGAAAACAAGCTATACAAGAAGGTGGATTGATTTCATTAAAAATCTGTAGGTTCCAACTTTAGACAGTTACATAAACTTTCTTCATAATTTTGCCCCCAGCCTGACTGATTGGACTTGCAACAGCCAAGCTGAGCATCTGACTCTCTTTCCTTGTGCTTCTGTTCCACCACTTCTCTTTTAATTTCAGCAGAACCTATTGTTTCCAGTTTCACATGTGAAATAGTAGGCATCAATAAGACTCTGAGAGTTTAGCATTTCACCAACAAATATATACCTCCCTTCTTCTAATCTACAGATCTATATATCAACCCATCTACTAGATAGCTTTTTTGGAATGTCCTAAAAGTACTTCTGTGTTCAAAATGAAACATACAACCATTCCTATACTATTTTAATATTTCCTATAACCAGATGACTAGCTGATAGACTGGATTAATAAAATCCTATTTCTTATAGGAAATCCAGTTTACCAGAAAACTAGAGTCTACATTTCTCTCCAGTCTCTAAACTCTTTTCATACTTAGTGTCAAGGTTCTTCAGTTTACAGTGGCTACCATTCAATCCAAGCTTAATCATTTATTGCTCCATGTTTTCCAAATGCTTCAGATATTTAAATTCTAACTCTCCATTAAAGCATCCACCTCCTCAAATTTAGTAACAATGTCTCAAATTAATTTGATTTTCTGTAGAAACAGGTGTTTAGTAAGTGCTTAATAAGTGTTTTCTTATAAGAAATGAAACGATGTAGTAATGACTCAAAACAAACAATAAACTTGGATGAAGTTAATAAATCTGTTCCTGGAACCAAAAGTCTGCCACTGGGATACTGTTTTGTATTATATGAACCAATGTTAACTTACTCATTTGTTAATTTTTGTTTATTAAGTAAAACAAAACAACATAACTTCAGAGCTCAGTAAGTAAGTTTTTTCGAGATGTAAAGCCAGGCTCCAAAAGATTTTGGCTTACCAGAGTCCCCTCAGTAAGCAGTCATGACAAGACAAGCCTCTTCCCTCTGGCCACATATTCTTTCACAATACCATAAAACCAAGATAAAGGACGCTGGTCTCAACTGCAATCTACATGGCAGCATACCTTGCAATATTTAGGAGACAAGAGAAAGAGGGAGTCAATCAATTGCTAATTTCTTATATTCGAAGTTTTTAAAAAAATGTGTGTACCAGGTACTTTTCCCACTATGTTCAGGAGAGAAGTTCTGTTTCCTACATTCATTTTCTTCCTGACATTACTACAAAAATATTCATTGAGAATTTGGTGGTGAAAGGATATAACCTGCTATGAAACACTTAAGCAGCAAAAATGTAGCTTCAAGTTACCTTGATTGGGATGAGTATAAGGAAGATATTAGGAATATTTAATCCAACTATTAATGGGATTGCATATAAACAACTATCTCTCCTGTAATTTAAAAACCTGATATTCTTTATTATGCTCTCATTTAATTGTAGCAAAATCTTCATTAATTTAGATATTGCCCCAAAATATTTTTTCCATTAGAAATTATGTTGTTTCAAGACTTCCGCCGAGATGGCCACCTAGGAAAAGCTCCAATCTGCAGTTCCCAGGGAGAGCGATCCAGAAGGTGATTGATCTCCACATTTCCAACCAAGGTACCAGGTTCATCTTATTGGGACTGGTTAGAGAGTGGGCTGGGTGGGTTCCACCCCCACAAAAACCAGCAAGCTAAGATCCACTGGTTTGAAATTCTCACAGCTCAACCTGGGACATTCAGTGCGTGGTGGTGGCAGGGTGGGTGGCAATTGCCATTACTGATGCTTGGGTAGGCAGTTCTAAACTCACATGTGTAAATGAAGTCACTGGGCAGTTTACAGAGCAACCGGGAGGCACCCATGGCAGCTCTCAGCAAGGCCTCTGCAGGCATACTGTAACAAGACTCCCTTCTTGCTGGGCAGGGCATCTTTAAAAAGGGCAGCAGCCCACATCAGGGACTTATAAATAAAGCCCCCACCTTCCTGGGATACAGCACCTGGGAAAAAGGGCAGTTGTGGGTTCCACTTCAGCAGACTTAAACGTCCCTGCCCAGCAGCTTTGAAGGGGAGCAATGGAGCTCCCAGCACAGCAATTGAACTCTGATAAGGGGCAGACTGCCTGCTCAAGTGGCTCCCTAACCCCCATTTATGCTGACAAAGAGATACCTCACACAGGATAGCTCTGGCTGACAACTGGCGAGTATCCTTCTGGGATGAAGCTACCAGAGGAAGGAACAGGCAGCAATCTTTGGTGTTCTGCAGCCCCCACGGGTGATTCCCAGGCAAGCAGGGTCTGGAGTGGACCTCCAGCAGACCTGTAGCAGGGGGCTGTATTAGAAGGAAAGCTAAAAAACAGAAAGAAATAGCTTCAATAGCAATAGAAAGGATGGCCGCTCAGAGACCCCAACCAAGAGTCACCAACTTCAAAGACCAAAGGTAGATAAACCCATGAAGATGAGAAGAAACCAGCAAAATAAAGCTGAAATCACCAAAAACCAGAATGCCTCTTCTCCTCCAAGGGATTACAACTCCTCACCAGCAAGGGAACAAAACTGAATGGAGAATGAGTTTGATGAACTGACAGAAGCAGGCTTCAGAAGGTGGGTAATAACAAACTTCTCCAAGTTAAAGGAGCATGTTATAATCCAATACAAAGAAACTAAGAACCTTGAACAAAGGTTAGACAAATTGCTAATCACAATAACCAGCATAGAGAAGAGCATAAATGACTTGATGGAGCTGAAAAACACAGCATGAGAACTTCATGAAGCATACACAAGATTCTTTTTTTTTTTTTTAATATATATTTTATTGCATTTTAGGTTTAGGGTACATGTGAAGAACATGCAAGATTGTTGCATAGGTACATACGTGGGAATATGGTTTGCTGCCTTCCTCCCTATCACCTATATCTGGCATTTCTCCGCATGTTGTTATCCCTCCCCAACTCCCCACCCACGGCAGTCCGTCTGCTAGTTCCCCCCAACTGACCCCAGTAAGTGATGCTCCCCTCCCTGTGTCCATGTGCTCTCATTGTTCAACACCCGCCTATGAGTGAGAACATGTGGTATGTGATTTTCTGTTCTTGTGTCAGTTTGCTGAGAATGATGGTTTCCAGGTTCATCCATGTCCCTACAAAGGACACAAACTCATCATTTCTGATGGCTGCATAGTATTCCATGGCGTATATGTACCACATTTTCCCTGTCCAGTCTAACATCAATGGGCATTTGGGTTGGTTCCAAGTCTTTGCTATTGTAAACAGTGCTGCAGTGAACATTCATATGCATGTGTCCTTATGATAGAACAATTTATAATCCTTTGGATATATATCCAGTAATGGGATTGCTTGATCAAATGGAATTTCTATTTCTAGGCCCTTGAGAAATCACCACACTGTCTTCCACAATGGTTGAACTAATTTACACTCCAACCAACAGTGTAAAAGTGTTCCTATTTCTCCACATCCTCCCCAGCATCTTTTGTCTCCTGATTTTTTAATGATTGCCATTCTAACTGGTGTGAGATGGTATCTCAATGTGGTTTTGATTTGCATTTCTCTGATGACCAGTGATGATGAGCATTTTTTCATATGTTTGTTGGCCTCATAAATGTCTTCTTTTGAAAAGTGTCTGTTCATATTCTTTGCCCATTTTTGAGTGAGCTTGTTTGTTTTTTTCCTTGTAAATCTGTTTTAGTTCTTTGTAGATTCTGGATATTAGCCCTTTGTCAAATGGGTAGATTGCAAAAAGTTTTTCCCATTCTGTTGGTTGCCAGTTCACTATAATGATGTTTCTTTTGCTGTGCAGAAGCTCTGGAGCTTAATTAGGTCCCATTTGTCTATTTTGGCTTTTGTTGCCAATGCTTTTGGTGTTTTAGTCATGAAGTTCTTGCCAATGCCTATGTCCTGAATGGTTTTGCCTAGGTTTTCTTCTAGGGTTTTTATGGTGTTAGGTCTTATGTTTAAGTCTTTAATCCATCTGGAGTTAATTGTAGTGTAAGGTGTCAGGAAGGGGTCCAGTTTCTGCTTTCTGCACATAGCTAGCCAGTTTTCCCAACACCATTTATGAAACAGTGAATCCTTTCCCCATTGCTTGATTTTGTGGGGTTTGTCAAAGATCAGATGGTTGTAGATGTGTGGCATTGCCTCCAAGGCCTCTGTTCTGTTCCATTGGTCTATATCTCTGTTTTGGTACCAGTACCATGCTGTTTTGATTACTATAGCCTTGTACTATAGTTTGAAGTGAGGTAGTGTGATGACTCCAGCTTTGTTCTTTTTGCTTAGAATTGACTCGGCTATGTGGGCTCTCTTTTGGTTCTATATGACATTTAAGGTGGTTTCTTCCAGCTCTGTGAAGAAAGGTCAGTGGTAGCTTGATGGGGGTAGCGTTGAATCTATGAATTGCTTTGGGCAGTATGGCCATTTTCACGATATTGATTCTTCCTAACCATGAGCATGGAATGTTTCTCCATCTGTTTGTGTCCTCTCTTATTTCATTGAGCAGTGGTTTTTAGTTTTTGAAGAAGTCCTTTACATCCTTTGTTAGCTGTATTCCTAGCTATTTTATTCTCTTTGTAGCAATTGTGAATGGCAGTTCCTTCTTGATTTGGCTCTTTTTAAGTCTGTTATTTGTGCATAGGAATGCTTGTGATTTTTGCACATTGATTTTGTATCCTGAGACTTTGCTGAAGTTGCTTATCAGTTTCAGGAGATTTTGGGCTGAGACATGGGGTCTTCTAAATATAGAATCCTTTCGTCTGCAAATAAAGATAATTTGACTTGGTCTTTTCCTAATTGAGTACACTTTATTTCTTTTTCTTCCCTGACTGCTCTGGCTAGAAATTCCAGTACTATATTGCATAGGAGTGGTGAGAGAGGGCATCCTTGTCTAGTGCCAGATTTCAAAGGGAATCCTTCCACTTTTTGCCCGTTCACTATGATATTGGCTGTGGGTTTGTCATAAATAGCTTTTATTATTTTGAGATACGTTCCATCAATACCTAGTTTATGGAGGGTTTTTAGCATAAAGGGCTGTTGAATTTTGTCAAAGGCCTTCTCTGCATCAATTGAGATAATCATGTGGTTTTTGTCTTTGGTTCTGTTTATGTGGTGAATTACGTTTATAGACTTGCATATGCTGAACCAAGCTTGCATCCCTGGGATGAAGCCTACTTGATCGTGATGGATAGTTTTTTGATGTGCTGTTGCAGTCGGTTTGCCAGTATTTTACTGAATATTTTTGCATCTATGTTCATCATGGGTATTGGCCTGAAGTTTTTGTTGTTGTTGTTGTTGAGTATCTGCCAGGTTTTGGAATCAGGATGATATTGGTCTTATAAAATGATTTGGGAAGGATTCCCTCTTTTTGGATTGTTTGGAATAGTTTCAGAAGGAATGATACCAGGTCCTCTTTATATGTCTGGTAGAATTTGGCTGTGAACCCACCTGGTCCTGGTCTTTTTTTGGTTGGTAGGCTATTAGTTGCTGCCTCAACTTCAACCTTTGTTATTGGTCTATTCAGGGTTTCAACTTCTTCCTGGTTTAGGGTTTGGAGGATGCAAGTGTCCAGGAATTTATCCATTTCTCCAGGTTTACTGGTTTATGTGCATAGAGTTGTTTGTAGTAATCTCTGATGGTGGTTTGTATTTCTGTGGAATCTGTGGTGATATCCCCTTTATTGTTTTTTATTGCATCTATTTGATTATTCTCTCTTTTCTTTTTTATTAATCTGGCTAGTGGTCTCTTTTGTTGATCTTTTCAAAAAACCAGCTCCTTGATTTATTGATTTTTGAAGGGTTTTTTGTGTGTCTATCTCCTTCAGTTCTGCACTGATCTTAGTTGTTTCTTGTCTTCTGCTAGCTTTTGAGTTTTTGTCATCTTGCTCCTCTAGCTCTTTCCATTTTGATGATAGGGTGTCGATTTTAAATCTTTCCTTGTTTCTCATGTGGGTATTTATTGCTATATATTTTCCTCTAGACACTGCTTTAAATGTGTCCCAGAGATTCTGGTACATTGTTGGTTTCAAAGAGCATCTTTATTTCTGCCTTCATTTCATTGTTTATGCAGTCAACATTCAAGAGCCAGTTCAGTTTTCATGAAGCTGTGTGGTTCAGGGTTAGTTAGTTTCTGAAATCTGAGTTCTAATTTGATTGTACTGTGGTCCGAGAGAGTGTTATGATTTCCACTCTTTTGCATTTGCTAAGGAGTGATTTACAATTATGTGGTCAATTTTAGAGTAGGTATGATGTGGTGCTGAGAAGAATGTATATTCTGTGGATTTGGGGTGGAGAGTTCTGTAGATGTCTATTAGGTTTGCTTGGTTCAGGTCTGAGTTCAAATCCTGAATATCCTTGTTAATTTTCTGTCTCATTGATCTGTCTAATATTGACAATGGGGTGTTAAAGTCTCCCACTGTTATTGTTTGGGAATCTAAGTCTCTTTGTAGGTAGTTAAGAACTTGCTTTATGTATTTGGGTACTCCTGTATTGGGTGTGTATATATTTAGGATCGTTAGTTCCTCTTGTTGCATTGATCCTTTTACCATTATGTAATATCCTTTATTTCTTTTGATCTCTGTTGGCTTAAAGTCTATTTTATCAGAGACTAGGATTGCAACTCCTGCTTGCTCTCTCTCTCTCTCTCTCTCTCTCTCTCTCTCTCTCTCTCTCCCCATTTGCTTGGTAAATATTCCTCCATACCTTTATTTTGAGCCTATGTAAATCCTTGCATGTGAGATGAGTTTCCTGGATACAGCACACCAATAGATTTTGGCTTTTTATCCAATTTGCCAGTCTGTGTCTTTCGATTTGGGCATTTAGCCTATTTACATTGAGGGTTAATATTGTTATGTGTGAATTTGATCCTCCATTTTGCTGCTAGCTGGTTGTTTTGCCTGTTAGTTGATTCAGTTTCTTCATTGTGTTGATGCTGTTTACCATTTGGTATATTTTTGGAGTGGCTGGTACTGGTTATTCCTTTCTATGTTTAGTGCTTCTTCCAGGAGCTCTTTTAGAGCAGGTCTGAT